AGCTGCAGCTACCGGCCCCGATCAGAGCCCTTCGTCTCGTCACAGCCCAGCGACACCGTGGAGCTGATGGTAGCAGGTGAGGGGCCCGGCTCCACATCCCCGCTCCCAGCCAGACCCTCAAAAGGTCAGCACCTGACGGGATGCTCAGAGCCAGGCTCTGCCCAGAGCGCTAGGACTGGCCTGGCCAGGGAGCAGGGACAGTGTCACTGGGGGGTTCCCCAGCCAGGAGGGAGCAACAGCTCCTGGAGGTTCAGGGCCGAGGGAGGGGGGATCCCTGCCCTCAGGGGTAGCTGCAGAGCAGGGGCCTTTCCCAGGGGACGCTCCCCGGCTGCCCCTGCACTGGGGACTCACAGAGGAGTCAGGGCCCAGGGACTGCTGAGCCGGCCCGGTCCCGAGCCACAAAGCCCCCTCCCCGGGACTGACAGTAACGATCGATGCTGAGTCACGGACTGAGGTGGATTAAGGTTTCCTGGGACCCTGGGCCAGAGCAAGGGGGATCCCTCCCCACCCCTTCCACCTGCAGCCCCTCTCCTGTTCTGCCTCCTCGGCCTGCGGCCCCACCCACGGCCCCACCCTTTTCTGCCCCTTCCCTGGGGCCCCGTCCAAATTCCACCAACGACCCCGCCCCATTCTGTCCCCCCACTGGAGCTCCACAACCCATTTCCTACTTTCTGCCCCCCGTTAATCCCAGACCGGAGAAGTTCTGTCCCCATGCTTTGGCCCCAGGGCGCAGCAGGTAGCGAGAGCTCCTCCCATCCCGGGGCCGCAGCAGAGATCCCGGGGGGTAAAGCTTCACCTGCCCCCCTACTCCCCCCACTGCTTGTGCGGGAACTGCAGGAACTGAGTCGGTGTTTCAGCTCCTCCCCCTGCCCCGACAGACTCTGGTTCTACTCCTGCAGGGGGAACCCACCCAACTTAGCCTTGAGTGGCACTAAATCCCACCCCCCCCCCAAGGCAGCGCGGGGCCAGATACCAGGGGGAATCTATTGAGTCACAGATTATGTGGCAGCTTCTCTTCAGTGGTTGGCCAGGAGGAGGGATGGAGGTTGTTCACGGGGCATTGATTCCCCCCCACCAACGGATTTAGGAGGGGAGCGAAGCCTCCTGCTCTGACATGAACCCGCCACTAACGGAGCAGCCAGAGGCTTCCTCTGGGGGCAACTGGGCCCATCAGTGGTCATGGGGGGTCGAGTTCCCTGGAGCTCCTTGTGAAGTAACCAGGAGCAGCCAGCATGGGAGGTGGGATACCGGGCTAGATGGGCTCGTACACCCATGAGGAAGGGGGTGAAATGACGTCCAAGCTGGATCAGACAGCGCCCCCTAGCGCCGTGCTTTGGCGATGGGGCCAGCCCTGACTGATGGGGAGTACTCCCCCTACTGAGCCCCTCCCCCTGCAGCCCAGCGCCCCCTAGCACTACAAATCTCCCAAAGGTTGCTGGCTCTGACCCCACTTGACGCCCTGGGGCCCCCCAACATCCTCCCCATAGAATTTTCTGCTGCCTGCACCCTGTGGTGTCCCAGCCCCTTGGGCGCCACGTGGCGTGGGAGGGGCTGGGGGGGGAACATAACAGCTGCTCCTGGCACTCACAGCTGCTGCTGTTTCCCAGGTGTATCAGAATCGCCGGCACCTCCAGGTCTGACCAGCCCCACCATCGCCGGGGTGAGCGCGACAGCCGCCGTCCTCCTCGTGGCCTTCGTCTGCTTCAGAAAAATCCGAGCCAGTAAGTGCCTCACCCAGCAAGGGAAGGGTTAAACCTGCCACTAAGCAGGGTGGGATGGGGTCACGGCTTGGATGGGGGACTGTGCCAGGAAAACTAAGTAGTGGGGTGGGGGCTCAGCAGAGGGTATTGTTGCAAGTGTAATCCCTGTACACATGCACCTGTCCCACCCCAGAAGGGCCGCATCTCAGGGCCAGCTGAGGGGTCCCCATATAACCAGTTCCCCTGCCCCACGTGCGCCATCTGTGGCCGCATCTCAGCACTGGGCAAGGCGTCCCTGTATAACAATCCATGGGCACCGTGCCTCTCAGATACCTGTGGTGCCAGGGGAGCTGACCTATGGATCGGGTTCGTTATAATGAGTCACTAAAGAGGGAGGATTGGGGACAGGAAAAGCCCCCGAGTTAATCTGCCCCTCCCCCTGGTGCATGCTCTGGTGTTGTGCTGCCCCCTGCTGGTCCGGCCCAGCCCAGCAGGGATCCAGGCTCAGCACCAGCAGCAGAGGGGACCCCCCCCGGCACCCCCATCCCTGCTGCCCTGTGGGCGTGAGTGGCCGGGTGCTGGGACCAGGGGATCCTGATCGGCTCATGGGGGATTCTGGTTTGTGTCCCTCTGCAGGAAAAGGAGCCGCACCAAGACCGAGCAGGTAGGAACCCGGCTCCTCCCGCTCCCGATCGACCTGCCTGGGTCACAGGGCTCCTGGGTTCTCTCCCAGCTCAGGCAGGGGAGTGGTGGTTGGGATCCTGGACTCCTCAGACATGACCTGGGCCTGCTGACAGTGGAGGGGCACAACCCCAGAACAGCTGGAGTCACACCACGCCCCACCTCGGAAAGCAGTGACCCGCCCCGTGCAGCTCCCAGCTGTTCCTCTGCTCCTGCCTCTGCCTCTCCCTGTCCAGCGCAGCTCCCCAGCTCAGCTGCTGCGCAGGAAGGGGGCCCAGCTGCACCATGTGACTGAGCTGTCTGGGGGGGGATGTCATGTGACCCTACTTCCCCCCCACCACACACACACATGTGTCACCTCTGCCTGGGTTCTGTCCCCAGCTCTGGCAGGGGAGTGGGTCTAGTGGATGTGGTTGCAGGGTCGCCCAAGGGGGGAAAGTGGGGCAATTTTCCCCAGGCCCTGGGATCCACAGGGGCCCCGCGAGCCCTGGCCGAGAATCCCTTTCCTGGCTAGAGGTGCCTTTTTAATTTTTACTGCACCCGGTGGTGCTCCAGATCTTTGGCAGCACTTCGGCTGGTGGGGGGGGTCCTTCAGTGCCAGGAAAGACCCACAGCCAGTGAAGGACACGCAGCCAAAGACCCAGAGCGCCGCCCAGTGAGTACAAGTGCTGCAGCGGATGGCGCCTTTTATTATGTCCGCTCCCCTGCTTTGCCCCTGTGTGGTTGGGGGTTAGGGAACAGTGTTCAGTGTGAGGCAGGATTGGGGGCTCTCTGGTGTGTTGGGGAATCTCCCTGCGGGTGGGGGGATATGACATTTACAAGTGGATTTTTTCTCTTTTAGCACTATCCCCTTGGGGGTGTTGAAGGCCCCGGCTCAGCAAGACCTCGTCTGTGAGTAACACACCAAAGGGGGTACCATGGAGGGGGCAGGACACCTGGAGAGGGGCGGGGCTTGTCGGGGCTCCACCCATACGGGGCAGGGCCTGGTTTACTGCTGCTGCTAGGTGGGATTAAGGAGAGGGGCCCAGAGGTAGCCGGTGTCCACTGAGCTTCCTGCTTCCTCCCGACCAGCTCCCTGTGGGTCAACCTCCCCTCCCCCTCTAGTTCAGGGTGTCCCTCTGTGGAGCCCCCCCATTCTCCCACCCCAGCCCTGGGGCTTTCTGTGTGTCCCCTTCATTTCTCCATCAGACCTTCCCAGCCAATGACCTGGGGAGAATCCCCATCCAGTCCTGGCTCCCAGCCCCCTGCTCTAACCATTAGACCCCACTTCCCTCCCAGAGCCAGGGTGACAACCCAGGCATCCTGCCTCCCAGCCCCCCTGCCCTGCCATAACCCCCTAGACTCTGCTGCCATCTCTGTGCCTCAGTTTTCCTCTCTGTAACACGGGGCTAATGACCATGGCTCATGCTGTGGGGCAGGGGAGGGGTGGCTCTGACAGTCTCTGAGCCCCCTGGCTGGATGGAGGGGTCGGAGCTGGGTGTGGGGTTCTGCTCTGGGCCGGCTGGGGGTGCAGCTCAGCGGGTGTCTCTGTTCTGCAGACTCCTCCGTTGATGAAGGGAAAGAGACACAGACCCTGGTAAGTGTCCCCTGTCCGTGCGCGAGCCCTGACCCCCAACTCTGACCCACATGGGCCCCACTCACCTTATCTAGCACACTCAGTATTTTGGGGTGGGGTTGCTGGGAGGGGCTCATGGGATCGCATCTGGGATTGCAGGGGTGTGTGTGAGTGTGTTTGTATGTGTGTGTGTGTCCCTGTCACCACCTGCTGGAGGGGACAAGCCCTGCTCTGTGTGAATGTGTGTGTGGGCACTTGGTGCACACACATACACATCCCCCCTCCAGTGACTCTGTCCCCTCCTGTCCCCAGGAGCCCAACCCAGGCACCGATGGACTCACCTACGCTGAGCTGGACCACCAGGCGTGGCACGCAAGACGGCGGGACCTGGCCCCTGGCCCTGAGCCCGCCCAGCCTAGCGTATACGCCACAATCAACATGAGCTGGGGGCCCTGCAGTGAGAGCCCCCCGCAGCCATGGGGTGCCGGCCCCCAGTGGGTGACAGACTCATTGACTCATAGGCTTTAAGGGTCCATCATGATCATCTGGTCTGGGCTGCTGCACATCGCAGTCCACAGAGCCTCACCCACCCACTCCTGCAGCAGGCCCCAGCCTCCGGCTGAGTCACTGATGGCCTCAAATCATGGATTAAAGACTTCAAGTTACAGAGAATTTACCATTGACACTAGTTGAAACCTGCCAGTGCCCCGCACCCCAGGCTGCAGACAAAGGCAAACCGGCCCCCCCACTCCCAGGGTCTCTGCCAATCTGACCTGGGGAAAATTCCTTCCTGACCCCAGATACGGCGACCAGTTAGACCCTGAGCATGTGGGCAAGACCCACCAGCAGGACACCTGGGAACGGATTCTCTGTAGTAACTCAGAGCCCTCCCCAGCGTGTGTCCCGTCTCTAGCCATTGGAGAGATTTGCTTCTAGCAGTCGCGGATTGGATCCATGCCATTGTGGGATGTCTCCTCATCCCATCCCCTCCAGAAATGTCTCAAGCTCAGTCTTGAAGCCAGTTAGGTCCCTTGGGAGGCAGCTCCAGAACTTCACTCCTCTGACGGTTGGGCCTTGTCTACACTACAGAGTGTTGTCGACAAAAAGCGCCATAATAAAATCGCTATTGCATGTTCACACTGCGCTTCCTCTGCCAGCAGAGCATGTCCACGTTTGGTGCTCCAGCATGAACAACAAGACCAGTGCATTGTGGGTAGCTATCTCATCATGCTACTCGTTACCTTCTACAGCTAGGGCTTGTGGGAAGGCGGGGGATCGCAGCGCATCATGGTGGCAGGCTCAGTGTCCCATTGTCAAGGTTCCTTCCCCACTCTGACCTCTAGGGTACAGATGTGGGGACCCGCATGAAAGCCCCTTATGCTTATTTACCAGCTTAGGTTAACAGTAAGCTGCCAACACCAAGCATGTTCCAAATCTTAGGGGAGAGCCACTTGGAACTCTGCCTTTCCCCAAATATTTCCCAAGGCTCAACCCCCTCCTTTCCTGGGCAGATTTGAGACTAATTCCCACACCCCAAGTCCTTACACCCCTTTTCCTGGGTAGGCTTGAGAGCATACCCTCACCATTTAGTCCTGGTGAACACAGATCCAAAACCCTTGGATCTTAAAACAATGAAAAAATCAATCAGGTTCTTAAAAGAAGAATTTAATTAAAGAAAAGGAAAAAATTATCTCTGTAAAATCAGGATGGAAAATAACTTTACAGAGTAATCAGATTCAAAGAGCCCAGAGGAACCCCCTCTTGCCTTAGGTTCAAACTTACAGCAAAAAGGGATAAACCGCTGGCTGTTACTTACAAATCTGAAATATGAGAGACTTGTTCAGAAAGATTTGGAGAGCATGGATTGATGTCCGGTCCCTCTTAGTCCCAAGAGTGAACAACCCCCAAAACAAAGAGCACACAAACAAAATCCTCCCCCCCTCCAGATTTGAAAATATCTTGTCCCCTTATTGGTCTTTTGGGTCAGGTGTCAGCCAGGTTACCTGAGCTTCTTAACCCTTTATAGGTAAAAGGATTTTGATGTCTCTGGCCAGGAGTGATTTTATAGTATTTTACACAGGAGGATTGTTACCCTTCCTTTTATAGTTATGATACCCATGGTGCCTTATTTTCTGTCCCAGCATTCCACGCTGTTCCGACTGCATTTTGTGGCATTTTCCAACAGCCCCATTTCTGGTGCGCCCGCCATCCCTGTGTGAAAGGATGGATCCCTCCACTGCTGGAACGCAGCATGGCTGGTCAGGCAGTATGTCATGAGCTCCCAGTCTGAACAGGAATCAGAGTTCCCCAAGCTGCTGTGTGCCATGGAAAGTATCAACACCAGCTTCTTTCTGGCATTCACGGAGCGGCTGCACACGGCAGACCATCGCTTTTGGGCTCGGGAAACGAGCACTGATTGGTGGGATCACATTGTTATGCAGGTCTGGAATAGACAACTTGTGTGTGGGGGGACATGCTGGGTCACATGCCCCCTACCCCCAAGTTCTGCCAGAGAGCGAGTCGGACTGATCCTGGTGGAAGGAATGTGCATGGGAAAGACTTCAGCAGTGAGCGCTCCCACTGATCCCCACGAGGTGTTGTCCAGAGCCGGGAAGTGAGACCAGGCTGGCAGTGCAGCTTTCTGCCAGAAGGGGCATGGGGAAGCCTGCTGAGTCCCATTGCTTCCTCACCAGCAGCTGCATGGCCCCCATGAGAATAACTCCTCTTCACGGAAGAAACAGGTCTGGTGAAATAAGTATTAATCCAGCAAGGAAATGTATGTACCTGCTTGAGTGCAGGTCTGGATTAGCCTGCCTG